CTCAGCCCTCCGCCAATCTGAACACACCTAAAATCATCGTCCCTCTAGACAGACCGTCAGCGCGAAAAGCACTGCTTCCTCGATCGTCGTCGTCGTAGGCGCTTATTAATTAAAAAGGAAAGGAAACGATTGACAGACGAACCGAGAAACAGACGGAGTCGTTTGTCGCCTGTGGAAATTTGTACTGCCGCAAGTACGGAGAACTGTTTTGATCTGCGCATTTCATCAATACTGCATGTCGCCCATGATTTATATATTAATTGGAATTCTTAGCACTGAAGGATTACTCGAGCGCGTTTATCACAACCGAGGTCGACCAGTCAAGCCGTCTATTCGCCGTCCTCACCGAGGATCGCGTGACCTGCTGGTGAACGGAACGACCAAAGGAGCGAGATCGCGATGTCTTTCAACGTATCGAACGTACAGTTGCTTGTACTTGCTTTTCACCACCATCGCGTAGGTCACACCCCCTCCCAAGGAATACACCAAATAAACCCTGCTTCTGTCTTCATAAAATGTTCCGCCCCGTGCACACTCCCTACGGTAGCGAACGTTCACAATTGGCGTACTGTAATCTAATTATCTCCGGTCAATTTGAGTAATTTTCGCCTAGTTTGTTGGCAATTTTCAACATATGAGAATTACGATCGACTCGTGAATGTAATTACGGTGCTACCGATGACACACGACGAAAGACACTCTAATTCAACAGGATGATAAAATATTAATGCAAATTTATAAAACTAGGTTTTGTGCTCCAACAACGAAGAATGGCTTGGCTTGGAACAGGAAACGAGGGGAGAAGCAAAAGCCAGCTCTCTGTCGCCCGCCTTCGTCCATGCAAACCAAGCGGAGTCTGCAACCCAGAAGAGGGGGAGTAGCAACAGCAGCTGGGCAAGGATGATAAAGCTACAGTAATCTCCATGGTTTTTAGTCTGGTGGTACGTGCGAACGCACACGATCGTGTTTACGGGTGTGAAAATTTATCGAATTTTACGACGTTAACGCGCTTGGCTAAATTATGGACAACCGTAGTGCTTTATTGATGAGGGATGAAAATTTCATGATATGTTTGTATTGACATAATGGGCTAAGCAACGGCCAGCAATAATCACTTTTAAGTGGATAATTACGGCGTTCAGCCTGATGTTGCATTCTTTCTCGTTTCTGTCATGAACAATGGAACGTCGTTTGAACGCCAACACGGTTTGAGCACTTTACAGGACGTTGGACGTTGGCTTCCGCCGTACGGTAGCCAACAATCACTTGATCGATCCAGTTGATGGCCAATGAGTGGGAGAATTTCGTTTTGCAGGTCTAACGATAATAATAATTCAATGTTTAGAAGGTCCATATCATAGGTCTGTGATACCATGATAAGACGGCAATGGTATCGTTTGAAGCACTGTCTCAGCTGATATGACATGCCGTTCAAAGCAGAGACTTTTCGTTCGATATGAAGCTTTTTAAGGGCAACTGTGACTGCCACTTTTCACTCATTATAATAAGGAAAATGAGAAGCGAAAACGGTCGAAACGGACCGGAAGAAGCCAAATTTGCAGAATTTAGCTTCAGTTTTTCAGTTGCCAGAGAAGATGGATTTTATTAGGAGAACAAACAACAAGTTATGAATGACTTTCGTGAATGCGTTAGTCATAGCGAGATTTGTTTGTACGTTTCCGTAAATAATTAATTATTTCTATTTTCGTTTTCGCTCTGCAACTCAGGCAAGGCAAAATCATGAATCTGGAACAAACATTTCATTTTCAACCCACTTGTTCGTTTTCTGCCAGCTTCGTCGCCAGTGTGACTTAAAAAATTAATGCATTATGCGCACTTTTATTATTTACTACATTATTTGCGTTTGCTTTCTCATAGTGGCCAAACTAGATCTGAACTTAAAACTTCCTAGTTCATAAATGCATCAAATGATTGCTTCAAATGAACTGGTCCAAATAGTTTTGTTCATAGTTTGGCTACAGTATTACATTGTTCTTGTTAATCTTGTGACCAACTTGTCTACAAAATCAAATTATTTACCGTATTTAATGATACCTATTCCCTTTCTGTTCCTGATTTTGTCGTTAACTTTTACCAGTCAAAAGATGATGCGTTCAAGCTTTAGACAAGACATCCTTTCAAGGTTTATAAACGAATACTACTTCATGGGAAAAGAATCAAGAGGCTGTACGCTATACTTATCATATGGCATTAGGATCAGGGTTCATAAAGAAGCAATCATGGCTGATGGCAGATAAACGGAAATCCGAATCATTGGATTGTTATCTGCATGTAACGAAAATTGCTGCTACTAATACCCATCACGAAAACATAACGTAGAAAATGGAAACCGGCATTTGTTATTGAATTTTGGTGGACTGTTCTTTTGCTTTACCTGGCCAAAATCTGTGCTCTTCTGAGATCTTGTCCAAGTAGTAGGCTGGCACTTTTACCTGCCCGTCTCCTTGGTCTGCTGCGAAGTGGATCCGTTTCATCACGTGCCTGAAGAGTCGTCATTATACGGTGAAGACGACGTACAAAACAAATTTTTTACTCCACGTATATTCAATATGTGCAAAGAACAACACGAGGCTTCTACCACAATCTCAATCACTAACTCTGAGTGCAGCATCTACGGCTTAGTTCCACCCCGCCGTATTTGTCCTTTCATACTGTCCTCAGATTGCGTAGGCAATCATGGTACACCTACCACGGAGTAATTCTTCCAAATGTAATCTTTTCATACCTGACAAATGGATTCAACCGTAGGCAGTAGTTGGCGGCATCTTTACATATGCCTGATGCACAATTTTCTGTTGTCTCAGACTCAACACCCCCGGGTGGAATGACCTAGTTCACCCAAAACAATTTCTATGCCAAAATGCGCGAAGTCTGTCACATTACAGGGCATAGTTTATTAACCACAACATTTCAGAGGAAGGACAGCTTTTCGATTGGCAACTTCGACATGAACAACTGACGACTGCTGGAAGAACCGCAGAAAACTGTATAGTGAATAAGATTAGCTGAGCATTGAATGGGGCATCAGTCTATGAAACGTAATCATAGAGAACATACAAAAAACGATCGATAATGTGTATGTTTGATCGTCAGCGGTTTCTGCTACCCTGCTAGATGAAAGTTTCCAACGCATCTTGCAAACCCTTGTCCTTTTGATTCCTATACATGTTGATTCAATGAACGTCTTCATTTTACCATCGAGGTCTTACCGTCGGCCATTTATTCTAACCTGGAACCGAACTTGGTATTAATTTATGGTTGATCTTTTGTGCAACGTGTTCTTCTCATTGTCCATTCAACTTCTTTGCTCCTGCACTGACACTACAAATCCGTGTTTGTCTTTTCACCCACTTTTTATCGTTTCTTGTTATTCTCGAAAGATGCCTTTCCATTCGATTCGTTTGTGTCGAAAATAGTTTGTGAATATATTTTTAAACTTTAAGATCATGTTTCGCATCCATGCGTTCATCACTGGGAACACACATTGACCGACAACTTGCGGTCTGTCGGATTTCAGTTTGAGCATTTTAGTCTTCCAAAAGAAATCTAAGCCATTTTGTACCTCTGTTGATTTTACACAGCCGGTTCTCCGTTGCAGATGTCCCAAATAGACGTATTTTTGCATCTCTTCAAACCTAAGTCCACGATTTTAGCGTGTCGCTGAGTCACGTATTTGTGAAATATGAAATGAACCTCCTTTCCCCAGATTCATTTTCCATTCTACGTTGATGCTCAGCGCTTGGATTCTTATTTGGAGTTGCTGTGATGACTTTGAGAAAATCAGAACATCTTTCACAGATGGCAGATGGCTCAGGTAGTGTACAAGTATCTTCAGCACTTGATCTTCCCGATGAACGGCTTTAAAAACTTGCATATGCATTTCATTGCACAT